TTATTAGATTTTTATATTTATTTTTATTTTGATGGCAATCGATAGAGTTAATAGGCTGAAATTAATGCAGCTGTCAAATAGGCCCAATACTCATAATTTTTATTAGACTTCATCTTTTTTAAATTACACAAAATTTAGGTTTTAGGGACCGAAGTAAAAAAATTTGAATCAAAAGTGACTGAAACAGAGAGGCCGGAATGAAAAAAGGCGAAAAAGGGTTTTTTTAAAAAAAGTAACATTGACTTTTAAGTCTTGCTTTTCGGCTTGGGCGGCTGTGTTTTTTCTTTCTTTTTCCTTGGGGGTGCTGGGAGAAAAAAACAAGAAAGGCTTGGGCGGCTGGAAGAAAAAGCAGTAGGGCGGCTGGTGAACGAACAGAAGGGGGCAGATCAGGGAAAAAGCTCCGATGCCGTCGATCTGTTTTTTTTTTCTAAGGATATTTTTGTTATTCGTCACAAATATTTATGAATAATTAAATTCTCAGGTAAGACGAGAGATGAACTTGTATAATAGATGATATTTTATTTATTTTTAATTAATTTATTTAATTTTTAATTAGTAAAACACTTTTGTTTTATTATTTTCAATTTATTGTTGATATTTTTTTCTCTGAATAGTCATAGAATTTATTCTGTTTATGAATTTAATCATGTTTTTTCTATTGAATGAATTAACTCTTTGATTATGTTTGGATCAATTATCTATATAATAAAGTAACTTACAATTCAAATCTCAAAAGATAAATAAAATGACTTTTACTATTCGCGGTTGAGATTACTTTAAATTTTACTTTAAAATTAATTTAATGACTAATATTAAAACCCTAAATTTAATAGAAATAATAAAACTCTAAGGGTGTGTTTGAAGTGACTTTTTAAAAGTACTTGTAGAAATTATTTCTATAAATACTTAAACAAAAATAGTGTTTAAAACCGCTCCACCACTACCTTTACCACCACCGCCACCATCACTGTCATTGCCATCACCGCCACCACCACCCCCACTACCGCCGCCGCCACCACCACCACCACTATCATCACCGCCGCCCTTGCCATCACCACCGCTACCATGGTCATTGTCACTCACCACAATCGTTATCGTCTCCTACCACCACCACCTCTCACCTCCTACTACAAATCGATTCTTAAATTATTTTATCTCTTCTCTATATTTGTGATTTGATTTTGTATATAAATACAAATATATTTATTGTTTACAATTTTTTATTATTTTGTGCCTTTAGACACATGCAATAATTAGTTTATCTATATTGATTTAATTCTTTACTGCAATATTGTTTCTTGAGTATATTGTCGTCGTTGAATTTTCTCAATAGTGATAATAATTTACGTATTTTAAAAGTGGTGAATGATTTTTCCAATTGTTACATTTGGTTTAATCTTGGTTTATAAATCTATATCTTCTGGTTGGAATTTTAGAAATTAAATTCTCAATTGAGTTATTTAATTAATTAAGAATAATTAAAATACCAGATTTGTGCAAGGGATTCTCGATGATTTACTGTTTGTCAAATTTGAGTATTTTTTACGTTAGTCACTTTGCTTCACTTTAATTTGCATTTAAAATTAATCTTTGTTTTCCAGTAACTATTTAATATTTTTTGTTAGTTTCTTTGTTCCTTCTACTATTTTTTTAATTTGTCTCTCTGTGAAATCGACACGCCAAAACTGTGCTACAACTACCGCATTATTATTTGGGCGTAATCATGTGTACTCTGACATGTATCGTATATTTATCTCGTGTTTAAGTTGATTTGTCTAATTCTACAATAAACATTTGTACTAGATCAATAAATCAAAAATCAAAAATTTTCTTCAAATCATTTAGACTAAACCTAATCGAGGATCAAAATATCGTTTCAGTGTATTGTTTCGATCACCTAAGAAACGGAAACGTTTTGACGTGTTTTAGAAACGTTTCGACCCGTTTCGAAAACTTAATGAAAAAAAAAAAATTTAAGAATTATTTTTTCAAAATATTGATGAAAATATATCAAAGTATCTTGAAACATTATAAAACAATTGTGCAAATGCATTGAAATATTATAATACATTTAAAAACATTATAGAATACCTCGAAATATCAAAATTTCGATTTCATCACTGTTTCATGTCGGTCTCCTGAGAAACGGAAAAGTTTCAGACGTTTCGACCGTTCGAAACGATATTTCGATCCTTAAACCTAACACATTTCTTATTTGTTTTAGTTGAAAGTAATATTTTCGTTTTCGTATAAAAAATTAATAAATCTTAACCTATCTATATAATAAAGTAAAACATAAAAAATTAATCCGATAACTAATATTAACTCTCCCAAATTTAATAGAAAAAATAAGGCCCATAAAGGTTTGTTTGACGTGATTTGTGTTTTTAAGATTTATGACTTCTCATAAGCCCATAAAAAAAAATTGTGTTTGAAATAACTTATTTTAATTATTTTCAAATAAGTCAAAAATAATTTTACCACTTAAAATAAGTAAAAAAAAAATTTAATTCTTTAAAACTACTCATCTACAAAACACTTTACCACTACTACCACCACCATAACCACCGTTGTTGTTGCACCTCATCCCTATCATAACTACCACCACCACCCCTACTGACCCACCATCACCACCCCTACAGCCCCACCATCACCACCATGGCCACCGTCGCCACCACTACTGTCGACACCCATCACCGATTTCTACCACTGTCGTTCACCACAATTATCATCTCATTCTTATATTTATTATTATTAATACCATTATCCTACCACCACCGTCACCTATCGCCACCACCTACCACCATCATTGTCGCCCACCACCATTGTCACCCACCACCATTGTCATTCACTGTCACCTATCCCTACCACACTTACCATCACCACCACCACCCGTCATTATCCACAACTATGGCCACCCATGGTCACGCACCCCCCACCACACCTACCTCCGTCATTCACCACTACCCACCACTATCGTTGCCCATAAACACCCGTCGTCGTCCACCACCATTACTATTGTTGTCCCATTACCATCACTGCCAATAACCATCACCGTCGCCCACCACCACCACCCATGACTGTCACAACCACCATTGCCACACAAAACCAACCACCACTGTTATCACCCATAGCTACCATCACCACCATAGTCGTTGTTGCCCACCATAATTTTCATCGTCTCCCACTGCTCATCCCCTATTATAATTAATACTTAAATTCTTTTATTTCTCCTTTATATTTGTCATTTAAATTTTGAGTGTGAATATAAATATATATATATATTTATGATTGACAATTTTTTTTATTATTCCATATCTTGAAACACAAACAATAACTAGTTAATTAATATCATGGTTCATATCATCTCAATATGTTTTATCGAGGATTATCATGATTACATACACAAACCCTATTTTTCTTTCTCACCAAGAAAGATGAAGACGAGTAGAAATGATTCATTTAGTGTTGTTGCGAGTGAGCCACTGGTTCTTCAATCTAATTTATTAGTGAGTCCTACACATCTTAAATATATATTGTCCTTCAAAGAACTCAAGGCCTGCATTCTAATTAAATACACCTTTCATTATTTTTTCCTAAGAAAGTATTTAATATGCCAGTGATTACATTTTATTTAGCAGTTACACAAAGCTAAAGATACCCACTATTCAATGCCCCCTTTCCCACTCTCCATGACAATATGAAAACATTTATAATTTTTATTTGGACGGTTGCTATGAGGTTTCTTTACTACCTCACTTTCAGTTTGAATATGGAAGATTCTCCATTGCAGTTAATGGCAACAATGGAGAGTAGTAAAGAATCAAAAGTCAGTTTCCCCAAGTTAAGGAGCTGTTTGAGTACTTCATATATATTTCTACATCAATCCCCCCAGGCAAGAGGTAATGGAGATGGACCCAAGTTTAGTGATATGCTTTTTGTTTTAGTTTCTGCTTTTAATGGGGTTGGTGAACGATTTCTTTAGATCTAGCTGCTGCTTTATTTTGGGTTTTGAAAGTCTGTTTGGAGCAACCTCGGAGTAGGTATGGGTAACAAGTAATAAAATATATGTTTGCGACACAATATGATTTCATATATCATACAGATTGATCATTTTCAACAGGCAAACAGATTACGCAATCCGACGATTAAATAACTTTTAATCCAATCCACGCTTTTAATCCCTCAACAATACGGTGACCAATGTAAATGTTGATCATAGAACAATTAAACAAGGTTTAAAATTGGCTTATGTGATTCAATCATGGTACTGCTGACTCTTGGATTGTGCTTTTGCATGGCAACTTGAAGAAATTTTTGTCAATGGATTTTGGGAAATGCTATGCATACCTAAACTTTTATCAAAATATATACTTTTATCAAATGAGTTGACAACTCAAGATCACTATTGGACCCACCAAATACTAATCAAATTTTTTTTGATTGGATATAACTCATTTGGTAAAAGTATTTTTTAGTAAAAATTTTGGTAAGCATAACATTACTAGTGGATTTAATGTACTAGATGATAGTGTCATGTAATTTACATCACTAATAATAAAATTGTACATACCCAATGAATAACTATAACTTAGTACCTTGTCAGATTTTTTTTTTCTTTTGAAAACCCCAATTTACTTACCCCACAAGTTGCTACTGTGGCAGACTATTATTAGGTGTGCACACTATATAACAGTGTCACGTGGTGTGTTAAACCTATACGAAAATTTTCTTGGCAAGTTGTATAGGAACATATATGCACATACAGAGAGGGAGAGAGAGATGAAATGAATTTTATTTTACAGAATAAGCAAATTCGCAATAGCTACACGTCCATATTATTCTACAGAGTACATGCATATCAATCGAGACTAGAAACTAATACGACAATGAAAATAAACCAGCCCTCGGCATCCCTTGGACCAATGACTATGAGACGAAATTCACGATAATTTATAATTGACATTATGTACTTATAAGTAATATATATATTCAGACGACTATGCATTTGGCTCTGCAATTTTGGTTTTAAAAGAATGGCCAACACCGGGGCTGTGACCAGGATCAGTGGGTCGGAAATCATCTGTTTTTCCTGCAACAGAATGGCTGACACCAGAACCAACACCAACACCTACTTCTTCTGGTTTAATATCATTCTCTGAGAAAGAATGGCCAACACCAGGGCTGTTGCCTGGTGCTGTTGGTCGAAAATCATCAATTCCAAGAGTTTGAGCAGCTGGCATTGGCGGGAAGTTTTCGTTTTTTATTTCAGCAAAATGATCAACACTAGGGATCATTGAAGCTGAAGGGTGGTTGTTGCCATGCTTTCCCATTTCTTTTTCATATCCAATGGACTGCAGTTTCTTCATTGATTTTAAGTGCCTTCCCTCAGTAAATGGACTTTCATGGAAGGCAATAACTACGAGAAGGATAGCACAGGAACAAATGGACTGCATGTTGGCCATTGTGAACAAAGAACGTATTCGGATAGTGTTTGAAATGAGAAAGTTTTAAATGTTTTCAGTCAGAGAGAGAGAGAGAGAGAGATCTATGCAGTGACCACAATGGTTGCCATCCTGCATCTCCTCCTTTGCTATTTATAATCATAATAATGGTACTGTGTAACTGTAAAGATCTTACCTGCTGAAAGATCTTATATAAGTTAATCATATGCAGAGTATTTATATAAAATATATGGATGGTTCGCCTTCCATCAATCTTTGAGGATCCTCAAACGTTTGATGCATATAGCCTGCTTTCTTCATGGTCTTTCTGATCCACATATCACCTGTTTCTTCCTGTATTTTTTTAATGACCAACACTTTTGTGTCTCTTTGCTTTTGTGTCTAAGCCTTTGACCATCCAATTAAATTATCAGACTTACAGAGAATGGGAGCAGAGCACTATGATTTGCTACATACACCACCAAATTAATGAAACTTGAAGTTAGCTTGATGGCTTAAACCTCGAATGAAGCTTTAAGCTTTACCCCTCAAGACATATGATTTTTGGCACTATAGTATAATGAGTTACAATGACCTTTCAAAGGCTGGGTCTTGACTCAACATTAAGGTTGTTTTATTATAACTTAGAGGTCACGAGTTTAAGTCATAGAAACAGTCTTTCTAGTTGTAAGTAAGGGTAAGCCTACGTACATGTAGTACTCTCCAGATTACGCAATGACGAAAGTCTTGTGCATTGAATACGCCCTTAGTTATAATGACCTTTCATTGTGCTGAAATTGTGTTTCAACGCTTGAATGCTGCTAGGGTATAATATAATTTAGTGAATCAATAATTCTGGGCCTATTAGACGAAAGAACTTTGATGTTGTTAGCTTAGAATAACGTAAATGATCAGCTTAGTTGCCTTACCACCACTGTAATGCAACAAAAGTCGGGATTTTCCTGTACTTCCCACTTCAAAAACGTCTATTATTTTATGTGGATTAATTTTTCATCTTGGAGATCTTTCAAACTCTTACAGTCGACAAAGTTGACAAGTATATTAATGTCAATCGATCATTATCAATCTAACTGCATTTTTTTTTATGTCCGTGCGAATCCCACTTACATGTGTCTAGCCTGAAGTTTGCATTTTGGTTTTGTTTATGGTGTATGCATGTATAAGCTTTGTTGTCTTGGGCCTCTGAAAGGCTAAGATTCGATAGGGTGGTGAAAAAAATAATAGTGATCTCTTTCCTTCGACGATACCAATAGTCCCTTTTGAGTGCTGTAGCTTTTGCAGTATTTGCATTACCTAGTTTGTTTTGTTAACCTAGTTTATTTTGATTTAATTCATCATAACTATTGAATTGATATAACTGTCTCAAAGAATACTAAAACTCACTGTTAATTCAAATGCTAAAACCCTAAATACTCAATAAACGGGGAGAGATTTCCAGTTCAAGTTGGGTTTATACGGGAAAAAAAAATTCTCATTCCAATTGAATTTGGATAGTGATTAGATTGTGGATTTGGGTTTTCGGTATTCAATCTAAATACAACCAGGATAAGTGAAATCGAATTTAATTAAAACTTTAATCTCAATTGTATAGTCCTAGAATCAATGTCAACATGATATTTCAAATCTATCGGCGGCTCTAATATTTTTTGGATTGAGATCTACTCTAATACATTTCCTTTCCCGATATTCTTATTAACGGCTCATCTATAAATTCAAGTATGACCCGTTGTATTCAAACAAGCTCTTCACTCATTAATAATGAGTTATCTGCCTAGAAGAAAATAAGTGAAAAAATATATATTTGAGAGGATCTAGATCTGAATTTTTTTTTTGCATTATATTCCTTTTTATTTTATTCTTTTTTTTTCTAGTTTGTTTTAGTCATAGATTAATTGACTACGCGTGCTAGAATCAGACAGTTTTCCTCTAAAAAGTTAAGGGCACCAAGGGGTTAGTGGCTTAGTGCACATGTGCATATCAAATCAAAAAAAATTTCTTATTTAATTTGCTGAAGAACTTCCACTAATCGAAAAGAGATATGTTTGATTAAGCATGGATGGTTAGAACGTCACAGCCGTAATTTGACCAAATAATTGCAGTCATTACCAAAGATATGCATGTCTTCTTTCAATACTAAATTTGTATATGCAACCTTTTGACCCCTAAAGGTCGTAAATGTCAATAAACAAACTTCCAAGGTCAAGAGACCACTACATAAGAGTTTAAGTTTCTTTTTTTTTTTTGGTTTGTTTTCCTTCCTAAATCTCATGTAATCTTACTTGATCATCAGAGAGCTCTAAGTAAATATCAAACACTGGTGTTTTCGTTGAAACTCTGAAAATTCTTTTTTTTATGTTTTTTTAACAAATCATCGAAAGTGTATCTCGCCGACAACCCGATTATTACATCAACCTATTGGGTTATATATAGCTTTGACTAATTAGGAATTAGACTTTGGCATGATTAAAAATTTGTACAAGTAGCGAGAATTTGTCTAACTTTGAATTTAATGTTTCAAAATATGACATTTTTCTTCATACATGTGAGTTGCTTATGGTCTTTTAGTCTTCTTAACGTTGTTACCACATAGGCAAGGTATAACATCCCTCATTAGGATCAGCTGAGACAGAATGTCTCATCATTCAAGTACTTCGACTATTTTAAACGCTGCTGAGGTACATTGGTTTCTTAATCTTATGATTATTTATAAGAAGTGGCTGGCCCGGGATGGCCTGCCTTGCTTGATGAGTAGGCCCAACCCAGGAAGCCGAGCTACTTGGTGGGTATGTGGCCCATCAAGAATAAAAAATGAAGTTTTTATTTGATTTTGAAATTTTGAGTCAGCTAAGAAAATTTCCTTATTTAGAAAATTCATAAACACAGTCCTAAATCCTTTATTTTTCTCCCCCAAAAGATTGAGAGTATTGTTGGTGGATGTAATACGTCCACAAACTTGTTTTACAGAATTTATTGACCCAGTTCGTTTCGACCAAGAAAATCAACATTCTTTCTTCTTAATCTCAATTAATCAATATTTCAAGACGTGTTAACAAAAACAAAAAACCGATTATAACGAATTCAAGGTCCAAGGACCATAAGTCTGCCCCAACCAATGCCAATATTAATCACTCATTTTCCTAAGTTCCTTCAATTTGTTTTTTTTTTATTTGGTAGAACCTAATGGTAGGTGAAGAAGAAAGAAGAAAGAAGAAAGAAGAAAGAAGACAAGAAAGGTCAAGTCAATTCCATTATGGCCAGTCCACCAACTCTTGAGGACCCTACCACACCTCTATGTCTCATGATAAGTTACTAATTGTTAATGTCCTACAAAAGTCAATGAAGCAATTGATGAGCTCCAATTGCCCTGGATGGTACCCTTTCCTCTTCCTCCACTCATTGCCATTCCATTTAATTGGAATGAATTTAGAAATGAGAGAGATTCTTACAAGAAGAACGTAATAATTGCATACATGGTTGGCTCCTATTGTCCTGGAAGACTCTCCACCTTAAAAAAAAAGAAAAGAAATCATGCTATATTAGAAGAACAAAAAGCAATTGATTCTCTGTGTTGTGTTGTGCTATAACTTAGACTGGTTAGTGCATGAGAATTGCTATTATATTATGACAACATGCAAGGATCTTTGCCTTCCTAGTCTGTATTGAATTGAATCACTTTACTTCAATCTAGTATTTACGTACCTTTTCCTTCCATCCAGATTCATTCAAGTTCATATACTGTGCCCTAGTTAGAAATTTTGATATCAGCATTCTACTTGTATAGAATGTGTTGAAATCAATTTTTATTTGATACCACTGTAAAGATTAATTTTGGGTTTTTTCTTGAACTATTCGATACAGAGATGAAGCTAGATTGTACAAGATTTTAATTGTATAGAATGTGTCCAAATCAAATTTTATATAATATCATCGTAAAGATTAGTTATTTGGTTCATAAAACCTAAAAATTAATTTTTGAAAATGTTTCCATCCACTTATTCATTTTTTTGTGAATTACTATAAATAAATTACCATTATAAATTTTAATTTCACACGATAGAAAATAGTGTTGTAACACTTAATATTCACATGATACAAAATAGTCGGAAAAAAAAAACTTTACCTAATATTCTAATCTAATGTTGTAAAACTTAATATAATCCTATTAAAAAAAAGTTAATTGTTATGATTACAACAATGTTATTGGAGCATGTCAACCAAATCGTCTTTAGATTTTTTTATCTTAATAGAATTATAGTTTTTTTCCTTTTTTTTGAATTTTATAACTCCAAGAACCGGTCCGTAGTTTTCTCATACTAGACTGTATTTTGTATGTCAAACTAGATTGGAAGAAGGTGATCGATCATGTCCAGAATCAATCTTATCGGCCACCTTAATTCTTATTCCATTAATCGACTAATTCTACACATAGAAATTGAATGGATGGTTGGAGTAGTTTTCTTTCTCACCTCCTTCGTTTTTTTTTTTGGCTTTTATGTGATGTAGGGTATGTCATTAGTTATTTTAAAAGGAAGAAAATTTTGGCTCAAAATGGAAAAAGAGTTGAGAAAATAAATTTTTAGAAAGACAAACAGCGGTGAGAACAAGTGCTTTATTAGTTTGAAGGGTTGTTCCCATATTTTATGGGTTTTTTTTTATTTCAATGGTCAAGGTTTCTGAATCAGTTTACACACATATCGATTAATCTCTTATCCGATTCAGTCAAAGACATGTTATTCACACCGAGACTAAGGTATTCATGAGAGAGTATAGCCTTAAGAAATTATTAAGATTTAAACTCAAGACGTCTGAATTTACAGTTCGTCTTTATTATCAGTTGAACTACTAATTAGGCCGAGTTTATATTCTATGGGTTCTGAGTACTAATAGAATTGTGGTTAGATGATGGATAATATTGCAGTTTTTTCATTTCCTCAACTTCAATTGGAACCGTAGTGATTGAACCAATCTTAGCCAAAACAACATACTAATAAAAAAATAAAAATAAAAGGGAAAAACTGTAAAATGCTAAATTGCAACTTATTTAATTTCATGAATGAAACTCCGGATCTTTGTACATAGGCAAGCATATATATCAACTATCAATGCCATTGCCCTAGCCCTAGCCGTAGTCCTAACCTTGAAGGGAATGCCCCACCCCAGGACTGTGACCCGGCACTGTGGGTCTGAAGTCGTCCACATGACCTGGTGGTGGCGGCGGCCGAGATACGTCTACCGCCTGACTCGGTGGCATTGGTGGTGGCCTTTCTGCTGTCATTGGTGCCACAGGTACATCAGCCCCATGCACATATGCTGCTTTGTTTGTGGTGTCACCATGCAAGTTGGTACTGTGTTCAGCAGTCTTTCTGGTCTCTTTCTCAGAGATCTTTGTTTGAGTTTGGAGGTTAGGGAATTCATTTCTCGTCTCTAACCTCAAATGCCTTCCCTCGCTGAACTGAATTATCTGGAATAAAATCAGTACGAGGAAAAGACTAGAAAGACTAGAAAGGACTAGAAAATCATCAACCAAGTACTTGTAGATGCAGCAATTCATATTTTATATATATATATATATATATTTATTATATTTGAATCACTATTACACACCTGAAAAATGCCAAGGTGACCAACACAAGGGGCCCGGGGGTTACTTATAATAGGACATTAGGAACAAATCTTCACACGGCTTATTGAATTTTCCAGGAAGAAACATTCTCCAAATAAATTGTAATAAAACTAATAAAGTAAAGCGCCCATGTTAGAAAGTCAATTCACCTTCAACCACTCCATTTGATAAAAAAAAAAAAAAACTACAACTACAATCATCTATATGAGAGTACAAAACAAATAAAATATAGGACTTTTTTTTTCTTAATATCCATGAACCATCGTATCATAACCACGTCATGTAGACTTGTCATTACTATCTGCTGTCATGGCAATTCATCCTCTTCTCACATCATCCAAAACCATTTGAACAAATTTCAGACAAGATTAAACCAACTTTAGACATCTCTCCATAATTATTGCAAAACATTACTAATGTAAAGATAATGTTCTTACAACATTTTGGTGTTCCAGTGCCAAGGTACATTTTGCTCACAAACAACAGACTTATTTACACACCCTGTCTACCAAAAAGAAGGGAGAAAACCCAAAAAAGCATGGATCAATCACCAAAAATAAAGAAATAACCAACCACGCAAGAGGTGGTGACTTTAAATGACACTTACGGGTACAATTTTGGGGGAAAAAAAGGTAAGCTACAATGCTCTCCTTCCCAGGCCAAATTTTTACTAGCAAGAGGCCAATCTAATCGCATAAGATAAAAAAGAAGTGTCATGAAGGGGCATTGTTAAGACTGGGTAATTATCTCAGCCCCATCCTTGGTTATCAAAATGGTGTGCTCAAACTGTGCTGACAGGCTCCCATCATCTGTGACAACTGTCCACTCATCATCCCATATTATAGGGTTTCTACTACCAATAGTCAGCATCGGTTCTGCAGACATATGGAATGTATGCATCGAAAAATCAAGAATAGATCATAAATATATAGATGAGATGTTAATTTTATTTTATCCATGATAAATGCGCAAAAAATAGGCATCATCTAACTGTAAACATTAAGACAATAAAGGGACTTAGATTACTAAACCAAGAAATATCTTAGTACATAAATGTAGATGATTTTATTTTTTTATGTTATAATACCCTAGTAAAGAAACCATTTGTGTAATTAAATCCTTAATCCTTCATGTTATTGGGACGGATTACAACAGCACACAGATTACTATGCACTTTCAGACCACCGCTTCTTACTCCCCACATACTGCACAATCCCTAAATGGCTAAATTCAAGTGTGCACTTGGAAGTGAGCTCAAAGAAAGAACTATTTTATGTCCACAATAAAATAACCGAGTGGTTCATCTATCATCTATCCTGACCAATGAAAGGGGCATAGTTGATCATGGGCAAATGATGCACTTATGTAAAGTAGTTATTTCTCATGGGCAGTAAGAGATTTTTCAAGAATATAAATAAACTACCGATAGTGAACGTCTGATTCAACATCATGAGTCCCCCGGCGTTGTTCCCTGAAGATAGAACAAATCAGAAGCAAGTTAGACTTTCACCTGCACGCGCGGGCATAACATGGAGATAAGAATGTTAAAGATAAAATAAATATACATTGTTCAGGTTCTCCTCTAGGTTAGAATGGGTGATGTTCTAAAACTCAAGGATTACATGCATCCAGACCGTTGAATTAAACAAAATTGTCAAGCACAATGCAGTCTCCTATGTGTCAAAAACCTTGAAGTACAGTGGTAGAAGTCATAAATTAGAGAGAGAAAAAGAAAAGAATGTTTACAAACTGCCTGCCATCTATCTAAAGAAAACTTCACAAATAAGGGGAGAGAAGGCTTGGGAACCCTTCCCTCCCCATTTGCTTGATTATCTGACTTTCAGTTGTTAAATTCAAAACAAAAATAGTTTCCCACCATCAAATTTCCCCGCGTTGCTCATGTAAACACTGTGCTCATTTGAATTTTTTCAAGAAACTCAGTTTTTTTATTTCTTTCTCATGTCTCACCTCTCTAAAACTACCAATTGTCCCTCCCTATAACTACTCATGTCAACTGGTTATCCACCCACTAACCAATAGTTTCCACAATGTGGGGATCCGATGAAGGATGCTTGGGTGGGCTGTGGGTGAAGGGTGAGGCTGGAATGCCAAGATGGGGATGAGACGCACATCCCTTGCATCGCATGGCCCTCGATAGTGAATAAATTACGAAACCAAAAAGATCACAAGTCCCTATCCTCCTCCAGCAACTACTGCAGTGACCACGCATCAAGTTACACAAGTGGCCACTGACTCTTAGTGGTATACATGGCACGCTAAAATCCAGAAGCAATGACATGGCATTCATGAGCACTGATCTTGTGTCGAAAACAGAAAATAATATCATGTTCATAATTTGTTGGTAAAGCTAAATGTATCATGCAGTAAGATGGAAGGAATATTACATGCAGGTGAACCGAAAAATTGTGAGTTTCTCAAACTCTAATATGTGTAAATTTGGGAGAAAGGAAAGGCCGTAGTATTTGTATGTCTCATGGTCAACTGTATCAACATGATATTCGCACATTCGACGCTAATTTTCTGACTGCCTCCTTTGTTGACTTCATCAGTGCATGGTCCTAAGAACTGCCCCCCCTCCCTCCCCAAAAAAAAGAGGGGGGGGGGGAGGCTGAAGATATATTGAAGGCCTTTGTCAGTGACGTGAACGGGTGAAATGTCTGAATCTCATGCATGCTGAACCCGCAGATATCACATCAAAATCCGCAGATTCATTTGGTCAAATCCACGAATCCTAAATGGATTCTTGTTCCTGAGGATCAAAGCTGCAGACATGGCTTTAAGTTTTCAAGTGTTCATGGTGTACTACAATTCACATGTTCATACCAGCTAGGCTCCGACCTGTAAGCTTGCAAAAGACATGAAATCTAAATCTACTTGCTACATGCACTAAGCCTCATTTGTTAAAAGAGGTAATGTTATATTTATTTTATAGATTAGTCATACAAAATGCACAAAAACATACATCTCCCTCACATGGAAAAACATTAAAAATAATTTAAAAATATATTACTCATCATATTAACATAAGACATTCTTGTGGGGTCTCAGTCCCATCCATCTCCAAAGGCAGCCTCTCATACTCTCCCTCCCACTGACACTTTGCCTGTATTCTAGACTCTTAGGTCCAAGTCCATAGGAAGCAAGATGATGAAGTAAAAATAATGATTCCTTTGTAATTGCAGAAGATGATTTGAAATAACATCAAATGAACCACGAATAACATGTGCANGAAGCAAGATGATGAAGTAAAAATAATGATTCCTTTGTAATTGCAGAAGATGATTTGAAATAACATCAAATGAACCACGAATAACATGTGCACCCAAAAACGCTCATCCTGTGGCCATATTCCATTGCCTCAATTGTCCGAAACAGGGCTGTGAATCCATGCTTAAATCTAGTGAATTGTGATCAACATGCAACATGAACCCTGACGGGGAAAGAAGCGTAGAAGACAACCCCAAAACTAATTTGTACAAAGAGCATTAATTTTTTACAAACAAAAAATGTGCTCAAATAACAATAAGCATCTGCATAATTGATGTATTTGACTCTCTGTACTTTTCTTCCTATTATTGTGAAATTATTGCATAAGGAAAGGTGATTGTAGAATTTTGAACATGCAGCTCAAACATCTTGATAAGATAGAGTCGCCTTGAATTCAGCAATTGACTCCTAGTACCAACTCATGATGGAAAAGCCCAAGAACCGTGCCGCACTGAATCTAGGAATTTAGTCTAAACTGAACAAACAACAAAAAAGCCCAAATCACCTTTATATAACCACCAACTAAAATATTAGTCAGAATTATTCAACAGCTGTAACTTGATAAATATCTCAGGCCAATCCAAAATGGGAGCTACGGCGTTCAAGTCCTACTTGAGACTGACTATAATGAATTAAGAAAAATCAAATCATAGAAGCCAATGAGTCAATAAGATAAGTGCAATCAACTTACCCTGGCCATCAAAACAGTAGTTAAATATAAAAAAATACAACATAATTGCAAGTGTCTTGTATAAAAGCTCAGAAATATTACTGTAGTGCAGAATAACTGGTTCGCTATGGAAAACACGTCCCACCCCATGGCCAACAAACTCTTGGACAACACCATTATGATGTTTATCTGCATAGTCACTTCAAAAAAAATATATATATATATGTCGAGTAAGTAAAAAACATATACAACCTCACATCTTATACAGCAAACAGATATCTCGTGATGCCATCTTAATCAGCAACAGATAAAGACAAAACAAATAATTTATTTCTATAGCATCAAATGATTAAAAAAAAGAAGAAGAAGAAGAATCATCCCCATTTATCCTGAAGCAATCACTGGATATCAAATTCCACAAATCAAAATCTCCAACAACTTAACCTGTTTTGACTGGCTAGCATGTAAATTCACTAATTTGACATGTAATTTGAAACTAATTTTGCCAACTACCTATTTGACATTATATACCCAGTCAGAACAATATAAACTTAACCAAGGCAATCTAAATGCAGATCAAAATCTCCTGGAAAAAGATATAGTTTCTAATCATTAGGTTCCCATTTATAAATGTGGATAAAACCTCCCAACAAGAGGCAGCAACCAAGAAACTGACAAATGCAAAAAAAAAAATTGAAAAAAAGACTGTTGGCAGTTGCACATGTAAAGCATTACGTACTGTATTGTTTTGCCAATCTTCTTGAACTCCACCCCTGGTGCACATATTGATATTGCCTTATGCAGGCATTCTTCGGTTACCTAAGGCAAGATGATGGCCAATCATTATTGGGAATCTAATTTTATTGCAGCATCTAAAGCAATTCAAACAGCATAGTAAGACTTCAAACTTCTGTTGATAGATCCTTCTCTAGATAAATCTAATAAAGAACTTAAGTAGTGAGATGAACGTGATAACAGATCTCAGGGGACAATGCACCAATTCCAGCAAAATAATTTCTCAATCAAATTTTGGCAGTGTCCTTTTACATTCCTTCAGTAAGTCTGCAAATCCTCTTCAAAGGATGGCTACTGTTTCTTGCTGGAATAGAGGAAAAAGGACACCCATTTTTCTAAAGAACAAGGCCACGGCCTCCATGTGGCTGGTTGACATATGGTGATCACAGGTTGTGCTGGTTGATTGCAAAGAGCTTAGCTATTCTGATTTCCTTCTCCCCACTACAAATTTTTTTCAAGGTAATGCCAAGTAAATATAGGCCTGAATTCATGCTAGGATAGTTAAATGACATAAGCAGAGTGAAATTAGGCTGCAGCACTAAATTATATTGGTCAAGCAAAATGGGTGTAAACCTGGAATGACCACTAAAGACAATGGGCAACAATCAGACATATAGACCATGTCACCTGTAACAAGGAACAGGACATAAACTACAGTGCATCACAGAGTGTTATTGTAATAATCAATTGACAATAATTATTAAATGCAGCGCAAGTTATGATAATAAACAGATATATGACGCATCCAATGCTACAGAAATTGCAAAATTTATAGTACCCTTATCAGGTGGCTTTGTTATGCTAATTTACTAAACCAAATTTTTGGAGTTCTAACAGTGATATTGATGAGTGCTGGAGACATTGATATCTTTTAATGGCGTTATATGAATATCAAGTCCTTTGAAGTATACTTCTTAACAGTACATTCAAATATTCAATCATAGAAACAAACTCGAATAGAGGGTTGTCACTTAAGTAAAGCCCAAGGCTACGGACCACCCATAATACCCAAGCTCATCCAATCTAGCTCATTTCCATCACTAAAGACGATAGCAACTACATTTCTTTTCTATAAATATCAATCCTCTGCATTACCAAAATAGCATCATGTTAACTGGAAAAATTGAATATTGTAGAGCTGGGGTGACATCTACCCAACAAAGAGCTTTGGGAATGAATCAATTTTGCAGGTTCACATTTTTATGAGCAGGAAAGAATAAATAATCAAAAGAGTAGAACACTTCCTAGGTCATAGTTCCAGAAAATCATACCTGCACCAAGTTTCTGGCTTCATCGTCAACATCTCCACAAAAGAAAGTTGCTGATGTATCACCATGATAACCCTGCATATGACAATCTGGTTACGGGGCAAGTTGCAGAAAATTCATCAAATACTGTATTAACTAGAACAATAAACACTTACTATTGATCAAAGACAAGTTCACCATGTGATATGAAAAGTGAAAAACAAAAAATCTGCTCTAGGATACACTCTGCTATTCAGAACAGGACATGCAACTAATGTGATGTGAGAAAGAAGATAATTTTCTTTTTCTTTCATAGTTAATGGATTTTATTTTGTATATTTAGTTATTCGGCCAGTATTTATTTATCTAATTTTCTGAAAATATTAAACATGAAAAAGAACATTATTTCTTTATCACACGTACTAAATGTGTTAAAAATACATAAGCAAATCTCACCATCACTACACAAACTGAAAATTCATCTTCTCTCCACAGGCAAGTAGGTCATTGGGTTAGCAGCTATTCGTATTAGAATGATAAAAACAACATTTAGGCTCACAGGAAATATCAAAATCAAGTTGCGGACTTTACCACCAAAAAAATGTGTCTACATAATTACATCTTGAAGATACCACTTGGATGTTAATATCAGAAAATGCCTAAATCATGGAAAATAGATACAACAGTGGGAAATGATGTCAATTGTGGAGTGTAACCTAATGTTAGGGAGGACATTGATGAACAAATGTATAATGTTATATAGACACAAAATCCACCAGCAACCAAAATCGTACAATAATGTCATCTAGCTCATGATTGACACAGAAAAGGAATTGCATTATGAACTCAAAGGGATATCTGCATGTTATTTCAATCCCAAAAGCGGATTACCATTTTCATTCTAATCAAATACCAAGTACAACTTCATTCTTTTCTTCTTTCTTAGGGGTGTTTATAGAGAAAGATATCAATTACAAAAGCAATAAAATGATTACCTTTAACATATCAATGCAAAGAGGCAATAAAATTACTTACATGTAGATAAACCGTAACGTCAATGTTGATAATATCACCATCCTGCAAAAAGTAACACTCAACAGTGATCTTTGAATTGTTGAGACACGATATCTTTGCACAAAAATATAAAGTAATTTAACTGTTCCAGTAGGAAAAACCTCAAGGGCACGCGAATCTGGAATTCCATGGCAAATACATTCATTCACTGATGTGCATACACTCTTTGGAAAGCCACCATAACCGAGAGGTGAAGGATACGCTCCATTTTCAATAATCATTTGGTGAACTGCTTGGTCAATTTCATCAGTCGTAATGCCTGGCTGCCAATAGAAGCAACAATTAAAAATTTGTATTAAAGTCTTGCCTCCTAAGTCCTAACTAAATCATGTAAGTCTACCATCCATTCTCTGTTCCTGCACCCATTATCACCAAAGACCAACCTCCGTAACATCATAATCACCTCATGCAGGTGGCTTAGCATCCAGAAGAACACATTTAGAGTGGCCAACAAGGATAACCGAGAAGACCATTCAGCAAAAGCTATTCAGTTTTCAAAAAGTATAATTCTCTCAATGCAACTGCAATAAACACAAATGGAGTTTGAATTGAAGTCACTCAATATCAGAGAATTTCCTGTGTCATCTAAATGAAAAATCTTGGGAAGAAGGGCTATCTAATGAAATGATATCTTAAGTTTTAAGAGAAATTAATGACAAATCAAAATGTGATTGTTTTCCAGAGTTTGACAAGACAAAAAAACCAGTGTTACTCATCCCCACCCCTTGGCCCTCACGCCTACAAAATAAGTAACAAAAGAAAAAAATAAATCTTATTTTCACCTGGACTAAACTCCCAGCATACTGAAGAACCTGAGCGGCAAGGTTCCCTGAAGCTCTCATGCAATCTATCCCCTTCTCATCATGCACTTGTGGTCCTTTCGCAATTCCAGGTGGTTGTCTAGTACTGACATAAGGAGGCTTCGGTATGTTATCTGGAACAGGTCGTCGAGGGGACAGTTTTCCAGGCCTTAGACGTTTCCGCTCGCTGTTTGGAAATCTATATAATAAAGTAGCTTACAATTTAAATTTCAAAAGATAAACAAAATAACTTTTATTTTTTGCGATTTAGATCGCTTTAAATTTTACTTTAAAGTTAATCTAACGGTTAATATTAACACCATAAATTTAATTGAAAAAATAAGACCTTAAGGGTGTATTTGTAATGACTTTTTAAAAATACTTTTAGAAATTGTTTCTCATAAGTACTTTAAAATAATAGTATTTGAAACCGTCCCACTACTACCTCTACCACCACCGCCATCCCCACCACCACTGTCACCCCCACCACCGCCGTCTCCGCCACCCCTACCACCGCCACCGCCACTCCCACTGCCGTCACCGTCACCGCCGCCACCACCACTATTGCCATCGCCACCACCACCACTGCCACCTCCACCTCCGCCGCCACCTCTACCGCCATTGCTGTCACCACCACCACCGCTGCCGCTGCCACCGGTCATTGCCACCCATCACAACCATCACCGTCTCCTACCACCACCATTGCCGCCCACCGCCTCTTGGCCCCACTACAACCGATGCTTAAATTTATTTATTTTTCCTCTATGTTTGTGATTTGATTTTGGATATAAATACAAATATGTTTATTGTTTACTATTTTTTATTACTCTGTGCCTGAAGGCACAAACAATAACTAGTTCATCTATATTTCTGCTAATTTCAACAAAAAAAAATCAGTCACATACATATGCAAACATGTGCTTGCACATATGAAAAAGAAAATCAGCCACAAACATGTGTTTGCACGTATGGCACACACACACAGAGGGAGATAAATGGGGGCCGTCAATAAAGGCCAACAAATAAGCCAATTCAATAGACGCATTTAGCTTTAAAACCATAGCCTGGAAGCAGCACTGGTCTCAAAATTATAGCGAAAAATGGAAAGGAAACTAGCGTAAAATAGGAAATCAATATTACATGTGGAAGGTGAGAATATGGAATAACATCTTTGTTGTGAATGCCTAAATCATTTTTCCAGCCACAAACTGCTAGTTATGTTACTTATGTACTAAATAATCCTTTGTTGAACACAGCCCCAAACTCAACCAACCATATATACTTTTGTCCATCTGTGTTTTGTTATCATTTATTTAGAATGGATGCCTTCCAACCAACACAATGTCTCTTTCATTACACTACCAGGTTTTTTGTTTTGAAGGCACCATAGAACACAATTGAACTAATTCACTGATCAATGTCCAAATAGCACCTGAATCAATTCTCCATCTTTTGTCCCCACTATTGTCATTTCACGGCCCTGCCAAAAGCTACCAATAAGTTTCTAGATTGGATAGCCACACTAAATGTTCAGATTGCCCATCCAACAAAACCACGAAGTGTCTCCATCGCAACATTACATCAATTTATTTTACTTTGTTTTCCTCTAATCCTTCAATGTTTTCTCCTATATTCCCATCTTTTGAAGCAATAATATTAGAGCACCCTGATCTTATGTTTTCCTATAGATGCAGTAAGACAACAAAAAATGTACCATATATTGCTGTACCTATAGGAGTTGCACAGTTTAACATCATTAGCATGAACAAGAGGGTGAAACTACATAATTGCTTTACTTAAATAGCACATTTTGATGTGTAACATATGTAGGATGATAACAAGAAACAAAAACAATGGATCTAAAGATTCTAAACAAAATAAGTTGCACAAATTCTACAGTCTATGTGCAATGAGATAATGGACATAGAGAGCATGCCATGGACAATGAAAGATTAGATATTAAGGATATGTAACATATATTGTGTAATTGTGTCCACTTTACGATAAAGAAGGAAGAAAGTGCACACAAACACAAGATACACACAGCAATCCCAGTGCAATTGAATAGCATACCTTCTGTTGAATAAAAGATCTGTTAATCCAGACAGTGTTCTCGATAGTTGCATGGAGACATGTTTGCTTCCTGAGTGGGAGAGTAAAACAGTCACCCATGATAGGATTGTTTATATATTTCAGGATATGACAGTTGAACATGGGAAACTGATTGACACCAAAAATCCTAGAAAACAAAGGCCTGGATTCAACGAGGAAAGGACAAAACAATAATAAAAGTAGTTGTTATACATATAGTGCATATGACAAGTATTACCTTATGAAAAGTAAACCTATTATTATACGGCTATAATGTGAATTTGCAACTTATCATAAGAATCAACAATCATCCATGTTGCATGAACTAAGACATAACAAAGACACAATATACGATTGTATGTACATATGCACGTATCAATGTATACTATTATCCGCATAAACATATTACTATTCTCATTTTCTCATACCTACTTCTTTTATAGCAAACTCTGCTGTCTTACTTTTGTCTTTAGATATGGCCACACTCATTCATAAGTCTTCAATTTAATTTTTCTCCAATCACACCCTTAGTGTCATGCTAATGTAATAAAGATATATCAGGCACGTGTACTAAATGTCCAATAGAGTGCGTCACCAAAATTTATGAAGCCATTAGGAGATTAGCTCCTCTAACTTTACCTACTTCTCACATGCATGGATACAGTAACTGTTTTGAGACCAGAAGTCTCAATAAAGGTAATTGGTCTAGTATGCTTAGTTAACTCAAGGCGTCATGGCATCATGATTCCAACCTACGAAGCACAGACACTCTTAAAAAGGTGACGTATCCATGTCAGACACCATCACTCTTCAGATACTCTTGGATATGTGTCCGATAATCTTTTATTCGTATCCATAATTAAATGAAAATTTTTTAATTTTGGACACATGTCCGACCCTTCTTTAAACCATATCTACTATTAAACAATAAATATGTGTTGATATGTGGTTAACAAAACTCAAAAATGTGACTACTAAGTATCTTGTACTATGAGATAACATATAACTACCAAGGTTGGAGTTGGACATGTTAAAATTGTACCCAAAATATAATAAGAAAAACAAAAGATATATAAAAAATTTAGAAAATAACAACTAAGAATATGAGAGCAATCATTTAAATTATATGTGTTTGATACACGTTTATAAAAAAATTAATGATTATTGACTATTATGATGTTAAGTCTTAAAATTTATACTAGATGACTTGACATAACATTTACTTATCATAAAGTACTGAATTTTTTATAAATAATATATCATTATATTTGTGATAAATTATATAATTTTTTATATATAGTGCAATTACCTATAATCTGTATCCAACGTGTCTGTGTCATACTTTTTGAGAAATGTCATATCCGCATGTCTTTATACTATTGTATCCATGTCCCATATCTATGTTCGTGTTTCTTAGATTCCAACTAACTACGGAGTCTTGGCTATACAAAGTATTAACCACCCGTAATTTACTCATATGTCCTAAAGGAGTCAGGAACAGTCCTTTAACTAACATATTGGTAACCAAATTAGCATTGATAGAACTTGCAAATCAAACATTGATATTTCAACTCAATTGTCATTGGTTTACATAGATGACAAACCTTCAACCTCAAAATAGTGGCTAGTCCAATCTACCACAATGAGCGGGAATGTTGTTTTATTGGAAGGACTACACAAAAAGAAGATTCTGGGCCAATGCCAATCAATTGTCTAATGAAAACCTCAATCTCCTTCCCTCAGAAAAATGTTCCTCTCACTCAAAAAGAAATAGCATACTCCATACGCATCAGAAGTGAATTGGCTTACAAACCCAGAAGTCTAGTCTAGAGGGGTTTTAGGATATGGAATCATCAATGGCCTAAAAGACTCCTTTTGTTAAAAATACTTATTAGAGCATCTCCAACCCACCTCTCTAAAATAGTTAGCCAAAATATATTTAAATATAACATTCTCTACTTCAGCTACCCACTTTTACAAATTCATTTCAACCACACTCTCCATTTTAGCTAACTAATTCATCCATACCCATTTTTACAAAGTCTCTCCAACCGCACTCTCTATTGTAGTTAACTATTTCATCCAACTTTTACTGTCTTCCAATAATTTAAAAGAAATACAACATATATAGAAAGAGATAGAGAGAAAATTTAGAGAGGCTAAATGACTCTCCACATTTGGAGAGCCATTTGGGTGAAATGGGAAATAGAGAGTGGGTTGGAGAGGATTTTTTGCGTTTGGCTAGCTAAAATAGCTAAAAGAGAAGAAATAGAGAGTGGGTTGGTGATGCTCTTAATCCAAATTAAAGTCTTCCTCATGATAAACACTTTGTGCTAACAATCATAATGTGTTCGTTTTCTACCCAAACCAAGTAACATTCCATTGTCAGATCAGCCCAAGAAAATCCTACGATCACAAGATTTGTGTATGTGTGTACACATTTACAGATATTCCAAAAAATACCCAAGAAATTAAACGGAGGTGAGGATAAAGGACCTAGGTTGCAGCGAAACAGTCGATGAAGAGGGCGTGTTGAATGAAGAATAAAGCGATGGTCGCCAACAAAAGAAGAGATGATACTTCGGGATTGAAACGATGAAGCTCCTAGCATCATTCTTCTACGCGATCAACGGTTACCTTCGCTACTTCCCCCGTCCCTCTCTCTCTCTCTCTCTCTCTCCCTCCTCTGTTTTCTTATCCGTTTGGGGCAAATTTTGGCGTCAATTGGACCGTGTCAGTTCAAAAAGGTACAATTTTAGGTGTGGCCTTCTTCCTATGTACTCAGCCTATTGAGCCGTGTTGGGACAAACCATCAAGAATAATGAACGTACAGATTTGGGCTAAGATTACTAAACATATTCAGACCCATCCCGATTACAGGCCTGTGGATTGGGTTTTGGACAATGTTCATGTTAAAGGATGGGCTCACTTTACCAATTAGTAATGTAAATTAGAAATGAGTCCCTTTAAATGTACTTATTTGAAGATAAGTTCTATAAAAAAATTTATAAGGGGTTAAAGTTATATTTAAAATTATATGTAATGACTTAAGTCCACTTTTTTTTTTATCTTAAAAATACCCTTCATTAAAAGGAAGTTAATCTTTTTTTTTTCATTCTCTATCTATATTCATATGTGTGTGTGTATATATATATATAGAGTAATATTAAAAAAAATAGTAACATTCAAATACAAAAAAAAAATTATTATGAATTTAAATAGTAAAATTCAAATTCATGTTATTATTTTTTTTATTATGTTACTGTTCATATTACTACTTTTGTTGAGTATGTTATTATTCATGTACTATTATTTTTGAGCATTTTACTATTTTTGTTGAACATGTTACTACTATTATTTTCCTAAATTTTAATATTCAATGTTACTATTTTTTTTTTTGAATATTACTATTTTTTGTATTTAAATGGTATTATTTTTTGCGTTTGAATTTGAGAGAAATAATTATTGTTAAGTATGTTACAGTTTTTGTTAAGCATGTTACTATTTTTGTTGAACATATTAATATTTTTGTTGAACATGTTATTGTTGTTATTTTTTAAAAATATTAATATTGAATGTTTCAATTTTTTTTATGTTTAAATGTTACTATTTTTTTGTGTTTAAATGTATTATTTTTTGTGTCCAAATGATAATTTTTTTTGTATTTGAATGTTACTACTTTTTATTTTTAATGTTACTATATATACATATAAGAGAGAGGAAAAATTTTAATGTTAGTAAAACTTTTAACCTATATATTGATATAGATAGATATGAGAGAAAAGATTTTAATGTTAGTCAAACTCCTAAGATTTATGAGTTTTTAATTTTTAATTTTATTTTATTTCTAAAGGGAAGGGATAGTATGGTAAAATTGATAAAAAAACGGACTTTATAACAAATAAATTTTATTGACGAATTTAAGTCTAAACAAGTCCATATAGGGGGACCGGCCTCCAAATTTTTCATTAATAATTTGTAAGCCCATCTAACATATGTGTCCCCCCCCCCCCAAAAAAAAAAAAAAAAAAAGTAATTGCACGTAGCAAAGTGTGTAATTAAGCAATGGAAATTTTCCATATTAGGTTTTTCTTCCTTAAAGATAGCGCAAAACAAGTCACATAATAATTGCATGGTATAGGTCAAGTGCAAGATCGAGACCTAGATGTGAGTCCCTAATGCGCAATTGATTATTATGTTTTTTTTCTTTAAGACCGTGCAAAATAAGTCACATAATAATTGCATGGTATAGGTCAAGTGCAAGATTGAGACCCTGGTGCGAGACCTTAATGCGCAATTGATTGTCAAAACTCTTTTTTTCTAACTCATTAAAAAAGAGAACTTGATCTAAGATTAATCTTAGAACTTTGGCCCCAACGAATATAGAAATATTGAAAGTGTTTGATGATAATTTCATTATTTATGTAATTGAATGTATCTTTCTCTAAACATACAATCAAGATATCTACCCTTAACATGTGTTGATGCGTGTTCAACTGACTTCCATAGTTATTTAGGTATGGAGCTCTACGGTAAGATAAGAAAGAAATACAAGTGGCACAACTAAAAATACTTAAATAATATTTTAACGTTTATCTAGATAATAAAAAAATTAGTTTTTCCCAGGATGGGGCACGGGACCCATCAACACTGGGACATTGTGCCAGACAAGGTAGTGCAACAATGAAGCTTGGCTGGGCAAATTTTTAGTGGAGCTCTAAATGAACAAAAAGTTTACAAAGATTGAGCTAGAGTCTAAGTGTGTATGCTTGTGTGTTTGCAAGAGATAGAGAGAGAGAGAGAAAATTTATATAAAGAATCATATATCTCTTTTGATATTACAGTTAGTAATTTAACTAAGATTAATCTAATTTTTATTTAATAATATAAAATTTATTCTAAATAAATTAATTTCTACCCAAATATATTATTCTTTTCTATAAAACACTTAATATCATATAGCTCAATTAATATATTTTCTATTATCAAACAATTCCACCTATTCACATCAATTTTTCTCTCTTCCTATCTTACCTTTCTGTATCGAGTCTCTCGGGGTTATTGCTATTACAAAAAAAAAATTGAGACATTTGAGAGAGAGAGAGAGAGAGACTCTTGAATTGACAATTGCCAGCAAGTAGTGAAAGAACCTGCGATGGAAGGAAAGGGCTAGACGTAAGAAAAGCTCACTCTACAGACCCGCCCGCCCGTAGGATATGCGGAAACGGCCAAGTCCGCCAAGATACGGGTGACCTCTCGTCTTCCGAAACCTCACGGTATCCAGGCAAGTTTTGGAATCCGATGCCAGTCAGTCAAGTCCGATTGACGTTGGGCCATTGTGGGGCCCCATCTGGAATTAGAAGTGGTCCACAGAATGGGTTACGTGACGTGTCGGAAGGTGAGAACGATTGCAATACATTCATGACTCATGAGGCAGACGTCTTTGCTTCTCTTGATAATGATTGACCATGAAGCCCACGTTAAGTTGTCTCTGTGATTGATTGCCAGAGGGCGGAGTGTTAATGTTAGGGATAATACTATGGTGCTAAAAAAAATTCATACCGTATTAACATTTTTGGTTAATTATATTAAAAATCCTCAAAATATAGAATTTATCTTATTTTGGTTCATAATATTTTAATTGTATTATTTTAGTCTCTGAAATATTAAATATATTTTTATATGGTTCCTCAAACAGACAATGTTCAAATTACTAATAATTTTTTATCATAAATTTATCATGTAATAATTAAATATAAATAAAAAATAATTTAGATAACTCTTAACCAAACTTATACTCAAATTTTAGTTAAATAGTTACCTAAATTACACAATTTTAATCATGAGTTATTCAAATTTTGGTCAAAAATACTCATATTACATATTTTTTTGTCAAAAGTTATTCAAATTTTGTTTAAGAGCTATGAAAATTATTTTTTTATCCATATTTAGGTATTACGTGATAAATTTATGATAAAAAATCGTTAGCAATTTAGACGTTGTTTGTTTGAGGGATCATATAGAAACATATTCAATATTTTAGAGATCAAAATGATGCAATTGAAATATTAGAGATAAAAATGAGACAAACCTAATACTTTAGGGATCTCTAGTATAATTAATTCTNCAATTGAAATATTAGAGATAAAAATGAGACAAACCTAATACTTTAGGGATCTCTAGTATAATTAATTCTAATTTTTTTTAGTTTTTAGATTGTTCATAAATTATTTTAATTAATTATAATATTAAAAATTTAAAAAATTATATTAACATATTGAAAAATTAAAAAAAGGGTTTAAAATATTATAAATTTTATTTTAAAAAATAATAAACTTCACTAAAAAAATAATAAATAATATATTATCAATTTTTTTTAATACCCTTGCCAAAACCATGTGTGCGTATTAAATGCAACGGCGCAATAAAACAAAGCACACACCCAATTTGGTGGGGTTAGTGGTGATCATTCTGGACCCTCGATTTCTGTATTTTCTCCTTTTGTCACATTGCTGAAGTTAATGCTGACTTCTGTTTCGCTACAATTAATAATAATATTATTATTATATTTGTTATTTTTTTATTAAATATGGTACAATAATGATATATTTAAAAGTGTCAATCATGTAATATCATTTTTCAATGTTCGATATATATCAATAAAAAATTATTTAATTTTGAAACAACTTATATGATACTTTGTAAAGAAATTCAAAAAATATCAAAATACCTATTTTCTGTTTATATTAACAATTAATCATGTTATTCGTACTTAATCTAAATTTAATTTATTTATTATTTATGTTAATTTTTGAATTTCGTGTTAAATCGAGTTAATAAATATTGATAAATAAAATTGACAATCCCAAATTGATGGTGTGGGTGTAGCACAGCACAACTTAGCGGAGTTGTGATATGCTGGGGTTTCAAGTTTGGAAATCACTAGAAAGTCCGGTCAGAATTTCTTGACTCTTGGGAATTGAGTATCATCTCAAATGTTATTGTTATATTAAATATTTTGTTGTTTTTCCTCTTGTTCGTAGTCTTAAGCTGCAACTATATTTGTCTTATTGAAATTGTCTGGGTTGCAAATGGATCGACTATTATAATGAGATGTCTAAACCTTTGACATGACACAGAAGCTCGATAAAGATACGAAAATAATACGAAGCGAGCAGGTTTAAAATTAATTTAAATAAAATTAGGTTTTAAATTGATTGATTTGATTTCTTTGTTCAATAAATCCAATAAATACGACATATACATGATGAACCCAACACTGCAAGAAATCCAACCATGTATAATTGTAAATGAGAACTACAAAAATGACACAGTACCATCATAAACGATAACAATAAAAATAAAGTGTTGGGTAGTTAAACTTGAAGACTAAGTTAAACAATCGATAGAGCTGGGGACCTCCGTCCTTAATTGAGCAAAAAGACGAGATATATCGACCTTATTCAAAGACTACGACACTTAGCTCCTTAAGGATCCCAGCCTTATAAGTACAACAATTTGTAGATCTTTAGAGCAAGGGTACGTGGTCCTATAAAGTGGTTACACACCCACTTTCGCTATCTAGCCTTTCATCTTTTGTCACACCCTTTTATATTTTTAGTTACGGCTCATTTTATCTTTCGGATCATGGACCACTTGATACGTAAACCCTTCTGGATT